GCGCTAGAATTAGACACGGACGCGTAATGGTTGTTTAAGATTATTTACTTACACCGAAGATGGTCACGGTGTAGGCTGGAACATTTCCAGGAATACTTCGCTTAAATCCTAGTTTTAGGACTCGGACAGAACTCTGATTCACTCACACGAAGTTGTCGAGGCTCCGTGGAACTTTTGCGCGCAGGGAAGGGTACGTCGAGGGATCGTTCGGCGACGGGGAGAAGAATCGATAGGTGATCAGTCTATCGATCAGCTAGCCGCAAGTCAAATCTCCTTAGAGGCACTTTGCAGTGTGCTCAAAGTTCTCCGATTTGGGCAGAAACCACTCAAGCCTCTTATACGGCCAGCAAGCCAATCGCTAGCCGCCACATAGGAATAATTTAGAACTGACCAATAGTGGGGCACGAATTTAAATACAAATGGCGGGAACTCCTTGCAACGTGCATTTCTGTGCTGAAACAAAGAAATGCACCCTGCAAAGAAAGCTACAAACGGCGGGAAAATAATTTAGCAGTGCTGAAGCACACACAAACAAAAAATCACACCCTTGGGTTGTGATACTGCCAAGGGAACATAGAGGAGGAAGGGCAATACACTTATGGGTAGGGTCAGCTATGCTCCCAGTGTGTGAACTAGCATCCTCAGAGCAGCCTGGAGGAAGGGTTACTTCTCCATGTACTTGAACTGTTTCCTATGAAAGCAGCTTGAGATTTATTTTCACTGTAGTAATGAATCATTTGCTGTATTTCTGTTTATTTCCAGAGCCCCCAGAACAATACCATTTTAACAGACAAAGCCAAACACTGACAAGCCTTGTGTAGAACAGTTTCCAAGAAACGCAGACCTTCCAGAGTCATCTACAATTATAAGACATCTGCTGAGATAGACAAAAAAAAATGTTTGTGTTTTATGGCAAGTTCTTTTGTTAAGGGATTGACAGCAGAGAAGGTTCAAGAATGGATCACCTGCCGTGAGCACTATTTTTCATGGCCCGTTTAGAAGAAAAAGTGTGTGTTTGTTATACTGTAGTTGTTTTTATTCCTCAAAAGTCAGCTGTCGCTAAAATCTTGTCTGGCAATTGTGCTAACATAAGCACAATTTCTTTCTAACAACAGGCCAAAGATGTTTGGAAACAGTGGGGAATTTTATGAATATTTCATGAAAAGCTTAAGTTAGAATTTGCAGGATTAAAAAAGAGGAAACTGGGTCAACTACATGGCTTTTAAATATCTGACTTGTTTAATACTAAATTTGCAAATATGGCATATTACAAAGGCTGAAATAAGATGCAGTGAGTTTCAGGATAAAGAAAAATTTTAGGAACATCATGGAGAACATTTTGAGTGGATTGTGGTGATTCAGGATTAGGACTTGGAAGTCATTTTAGGATACACTTTCAATTTCATTAGCCCTGCCACTTACCCCCCTCCCCTGACTCTCAGGGGATTGTCTGAGTGTTGTCTGGTTTGGGTAGATGCAGTACTATGGACTGTATGTAGCAGCTCACTTATCTTTGGCCAGGTCAGTTGCTGCTTTGGGTACAAGCTACAGTGTTCAGCCAGTAGCTACTGCAGATTGCTTAGTGGCTGTGAAAGTGTTAACACTGGACTCTGCCCCTCCTGCCTGCTAGGCCACACAGCAGTCGCAGCCATTTTGACAGCCATTAGAGAGCTGTGTCTGTATAATTCTATTCTTATATGCTTTTACTCCAACAAAGAGAAATCATCCTCCCCACCTAAGCTGCATACCCCGATCTGGAGGGCTGATTTTGTGAGGAAGGGTGCATAGGCTTCTCTACTCTTGCTTTTGTGATATGAGCAGTCTGACTTCTCAGCACTCTATGCAGACCAGTATCCAGTAGAGCACTGAACTAGGAATGAGGAAACTTTGGTTCTCTTTTGACTGTGACCTAAATTGTTTATTAACAGTTTGGATGGTGGCATAGAAAGTTTTTTGAGTGAGTTTGCAGATGCCATGAAACTGGGAAGGATTGTGAACATGTTGGAAGATACCAGTGCAATTCAGAAGGATCTTGAAAGATTAGAAAGTTCAGCTAGAGCTAACAGGATGAAGTTCAGTGCAGACAAATGCAAAGTGCTATGCCTTGGGAGGAATAATCAAAAACACAAATATAAAATGGGTGACACCTGGCTGGATAGCAGCACTATGGAAAAGGACTTGTGAGTCTTGGTAGATCACAGACTCCATATGAGTCTGCAGTGTGATGCATCCGCACAAAAAGTGAATGTGCGGCTGCATCAACAGAATGTGGTTTTGGGCTGCGTCAACAGAAGCATTAGGGGCAAGACGTGGCTTGCCCGTGGTTAGGCCTCATCTAGACTACTGTGTGCAGCCATTTTAAAAAGGACATGGAAAAATCAGAGAGGGTCCAGAGATGATAAAGGGCTTGGAAAGTAAGTCATATGAGGTGAGACTGAAGGAGCTAGACATGTTCAGCTTGTGGAAAAAGTGGGGGACACGGCAGCAGTCTTTATACTTGAAGAGTTGCCATCAAGAAGAGGGAAAGCACCTTTTCTCTCTTGTTGCAGAAAGTAAGACATGGACCAATGGCTTGAAGTTAAAGCAAAATAAGTTTAGATTCCATGTCTGGAAAAACTCTTCACTGTTAGAAAAGTTGTGGACTCTCTGTCACTGGAGGTGTTCAAGAAAAGATTGCACAGCCACTGGTCTGGGATGATCTAGGCATAGCTATGCCTATGTTCTGCAATCAGTATTTCCCATGCTTCTGGGCTCTGCTAGTTGCCCCTGCTCCCCCACCCCTCCCCAGGCCCCTTTCTGCTACATGTCAGGGTGTATTTAAGCCATCCTCAGGAACTGGGTGTAGGCTACAGCTAAGGCTGGGGACTTTGACTGGGATGTGCCAGTGCTCCTACTGGGAGCAGAGCCAGAGGTTCCTGGCTAGAGTGTCTTGGCCCTCCATTCAGGATCAAACTGATGGCTATATTTGGGGTCAGAAAATAATTTTAACCCATGGTCAGATTGGTCCAGGCTGTGGGGGTTTTTGCATTCCTCTGTAGCAGGGGGCATGGCCCCTCTACCCAGGATCTCTTGAGTATATAGCGACAACATTTCATAGAAGCAGAACATTATTGGCTGCTTTACTTGTGACAGGTTAGGATGTAAGGTCTGTGTTGTGTCAAGTTTGACACTACGCTTTACATAGAGTTTAGATTATGGTTTGAGTAGGATGGTTTGGATAGGAATGAATGATCCTGGCTCAGGCAGGGGGTTGGACTAGATGTCCTCTAGGGGTCCTTTCCAGGCCTTCTTCTGTATGTTTCTATGTATTCATCTGGAATTGTAATCTTTTGTGTCAGACCTAGACAGTACTTCAGAGAGGAGGCATTGTCTGGTTCAAATTCAGTTATGAATCTGCAGTTGCAGCAGACTGCTGGCACTCAAAAATCAGCATAATGATCAGGAGTTTGGAACTGGGGGTCAGTTTCTCACCCTCTGGGCTACCATTTTAAGACTAATCAAATGGCTGAGATGGCTGATGAGGGATGGAAATCTTATGAGTATGATGTATGGCTTCCTCCAAAATAACTAAACATAGGGTAAAAGGTACTAGTAACGTAGCCTAGAATAAATATGGTTAAGTGCTGGGTATATACCACCTGCAGATATAATAGTGGCTTCAGCAGTTAACCTAACATTCAGTACTTCTGCATTCCTACTTGGCACTGTCTGAAGTGACATACGGTTTCCTTCGTTATCTAAGGGATAGGCCTTTCATTTTATATATTTTTTGTGTTACATACCTCTTTGGAGCTGTTTATAGCCAATAGAGCTGTATTCAGTACTTTTCCTGTGAATTCTTACATTCATTTCTTAGTGCCCTTAGTATTTTATATCTTTTTAAAAGTAAATGAATAGGTTTGTATTAAAGAAAGCATATGGAAATTTTCAGATGGAGCTTGCTAATAATTTTCCTGGCTGTGCTGTAACAAGACTTATAATGATCTATGTAACCTTTTAGAAGATGCATAAAAATAAGCAATGTGTGTATGTAAATACTTGTTTATCACTATTGTGGTAAAAGGGCCATATTTTTTCAATGCATTGGTTTAGTGATAGATTTTATTCTTTGCAAATAAAAACAAATCTGAGATTGGCTGACTTGCATCTTTTCAAACGCAAGTGCCGGGATGGCTTTGTAGCAGGGGGCCTCTGGAAGGGTAACTCACTAAAAACATCTATCAATCGCACTTGATATCTATGTGTTAATCTAGTCCTCCTCTTCATAGCTGCCTTTAGAAAGCCTCATCTTCCCTGCAGTTCTAGCCTCTGATGTGTTTCATGCATTTAACTGGAGCCAGATTGAGAAGTATAATGGATAGCCCACATGGCAATTACTGTCTCATTTTGTTGGATCAGAATTAAAGGCTACATTTTATTATATTATGTTGTATTACTAAAACTGCCTATTAGGGCCTGTATTTTTTTTCTCAAAATACACCAAAACAATAAAGAAAACCCCTAAAATTGATCTCTGTGTGGTTCATTTAAGTATCTGTCCTTCTAATTCCATGGCAGATGTTTTCTTCCCAGCTTGTGCTTTGTCATAGTGCGTTTTATCTTGAGTGAACTCTAATGTCTATGTTAGATGTTTAAAGCATTACTTTTCTTTAAAGGCAAGAATGTTAATGATGAAGAACAGAGTTCTAGGAATGGAGTAGACTTAAACCCCCAACTAACGTCACATTGTTTTAATAGTGACTTCTGTATCTGGCTGACTCTTATCTTTAATTTTTACTGTAGCATACGTTTTTTATAACAATTGAATCTGTTCATTTGTTTTTAAGAATGGAAGGTGTAGAAGGAAGAGTTGCAAACAAGCTGCTCGAATGTAACTTCAGTAAAAACCAAGCTGAATGTCATTATTAAAAAGTTGAATGAAACCTTTTCACTGACAGTCATCAGAGAAATAGTCTAGGATCAGATTTCAGTAACTTTAATTTGTTTCTCTCTCATTTCAGCTGTTAGATCAGGCTGGTTACCACCACCACCTGCCCTGCCACCTCGGCCTTTTGTATCACAGGTATGTACAAAATTTTGGAATTGTGTATATGTATTGTGCATTATTTCTTCTTTAGATACTACTGATGCCATGTTTTGTCACATACTATGCACATCCTTCTCCCCCCAAATTAAGCTGCTGGAAATTGGGGTGTGCATTATAAGTGAGGAAATATGGTAATAATTTCTGCCTCTGACCAAGAAAGTGAAAGTAACACTGTAGGACTACATGTGAGGCCCTCCCTGCTGGCTGTGTACACTTTGTTTTTCCACTTGTTGTAAAAGTTCTACTCAGTTACTACTACTTACCTGTATTTTCAAAGAAAGGGTTTTTTCCCTTCATTCTGCCTTTCAAAAACAAGGTGCACATATTATTTGGGGGCACATTGCACGTGAGAAAATATGGTGATAATAATACAATAGTGGGCTTTTTCATATCCTGCTTATGCTTATTACAAAGCCATTGCATATCTGCAAAATTCTCCACACTTTTTTGTTTTTGAATGATTACTAGATAATGTCAAATTATTGGCTGTTTCAAACTCCTTTTCTTTGTGGAGCCAGGATACACAATGTAGACAAAATCATAAATGAAAAGCCTGGTGACAGTCTTCCTTGGCTGGAAGGCAGCGGTTTAATTCACTTGCTTCTCAAGCTATAAATGCCATTCTCTTGCTTCTCAAGCTATAAATGCTGTCAAGGTAGCAGTGCAAGGAGCAGCTGCATATCATAGAACATGTCACCTATCAGTGTGAAATAGTCATACTAAAAGGAAATAAATCCCACATTAGCTACATTATTGAGTGGCATGCTGTGATTTAGTGGCATACTTATTTCATCAGAACAGCACACATTCATTGTGTAAAGCAAATGGATCTAATCATGAACAATAATCCCAAGTAATGTACTATAGATGAGTTCTTCTTCCTTCATAAGGAATGATAAATACACAAAGGCCACATGGCTCGACAAGACCTGTCATAACTGTTGCATCTTAACGTCCATCTTTTTCTACCTTTTTTAATCTCTTTCCACAAAAATGTCTGTATAGATGTCTTATGTATTTATGTTCTTGACTGCAGCTGGCCATAGCTGGCAATTTGTACTGTGTATTAGTCTTTTATACTGAGAGTTGAAACTGATGCCCTGACCGTTATCAAGTGATCAGCCCACCTCTCAAACAGAAAATACCAAGACACCTTTAATATCCATGAGCAATCAGGACTTGAGTTCGAGGTCAGATGTAAGAAGTCAAGCACATCTTGCCTAACACTATACCCGGGCACTTGTTCCTGAAAGGGAGAACTGAGTGCTTCATAAACAGCAATTCTCTTTTCAGCTGGGTTTGGAGTTGGCAAAAATATTCAGTTTGTGAGGATGGTATAGGCTGCTGCTTTCTACCTACACACTTCCATTGACCCAGCTACAAACTTAGCCATGTGCACTTTAGCATTGTCATCAGATCATTCCTTTTTCTCAACCTCCTCTGAGCAATGTCTCCTTATTGCATCTCCTCCAACTCTGAATCATTGCTTCTTTGTCTGCCTTATTGCTGTCATAAGCCACTCCAGCTCTACTGTATCCTTTCACATGCAAATCTTCATCATTGTTTTCTGGAAAGCAAAGAAGCAAAACAAAACCTATTATTTGATGACAAAAATCAGTGCTACACGCAAGAATTTTGGGATTTTTTTTCTCTGTTTAAGGTAGATTTTAGTCCCTCAATGAGGTGATGGGAGAGTAATACGTATATTCATGTCCATTAGGTCCCTCTTGTTGCAAATACTGAACCAGCCACCCAACCCAAATCTAGCTACGTAGACTTCAGAGTACCGGAACAGGTATGTTTTAGCATTTTAAATATGGGAGTCCCACAGAAAGATCCAACCTTCTCTTCTATTTCAGCACAACAGTCTTTCTGAAAAATAAATCAATTTTTTGTACATAATTCTGGAGAAGTATTTTTAATATATGTTTATTTCTTTTAAAAACACTTTTTTAGCTTTGAACTGAAAAACAATTGAAATAGTATTTTAGACCACACAAACTGTAATCTGCCATATGTCTTATGTGCCCTTGTCATCAAAACATGCCTTTAAATGATCAAGTTTTATATATATATATAGAGAGAGAGAGAGAGAGAGAGAGAGATAGTTGATGGGGTTCATAATTCAGTTTAGCTGGCCATTAAGTATAGCATGCACAGCTATCATAAGCATATAGATTACATTACCCAAATGGGGCCCTTGATGTAAAGAGCATGAATATGTTCAAGAGTAACTGATCTGTTTTCAAAATAGAGGCAGGATTAAGAAGAACTGAAGAAAAATAATTGTTCTGGCATGATGCACTCAGCTTTTTCCTGTTTTTACTACTAATCTTGTTCTTTTTAAGTTTCAATTTTAATTCACTTTTTACAATGCTGTTAAATCCTTTTTATTTCTTTGCCATTTCAATAGATGCATGTGGCTAAGCACAGTGAATCACAAAAGTAGTTTGGGGGTTAAAGTGTACCCCAAGTATTTAAGGTTGCTCTGCACCATTCGTGCATGTTTATGGTGTGCTGTATTTTGGAACTGCATTGGAAATCCATTGATGGAGGAGGAGAGGGAAACAATTTATTGTGAGACCCAGTCACCCACAGAAAACTGCAATCAGAGCCAGGGTAGGTTGAGTATTTAGAGTGAAGTTAAAGTGTTTATTAGGCTCTACAGGCCGTTGTAGGTCCACAAGATGTGATAGGGTAGAAGTTGTTTTAATTGGGTGGAAGCTTCTGTGCGAGTTTAATCGATGACAAAGTACAACTGGAGCATTAGTCTTGGTCCCATGCTTTGTCATGTTCATTACAATTTTTTTTTTGTGAGACATCATACTCTTCCTGCCAGATTCTTCTACGCAATCAAACTCGGTGTGTTCTTGAAACCGTAGTTATTGGTAACATTATTCACTATATTAAATATTTCCAGGTTGGTCGGTTTTTGGTTGTAGCTGTGTTGGTCTAAGGACATAGGCAGAAAGGACGGCACCCAAAAGCTTGCCAAGAAATTTTTCCAACTACTCAGTTGGCTGAATACAGGGGTTGTCAACCAGGGTGCACATACCCCTGTGGGTACTTTGAAAGGTCCCAGGGGTTATGTGGGGGTGGGCGGGGACAAAGTGCCGCCACCCTGTGCCACTGCCTCGCAGGAGCAGGGCCTCTCCGCCGCTCGCCATGCCCCTGCTCAGTGTCTAGCCACTCAACCCCCGCACCCCCGGCTCCGCATCTGGCTGCTGCCCCCCACCCCCCTCGCTTCACATCTGGCCACTTGTCACCCCACCTCCTGGGGGTACACTTATTAAAAAAGGTTGAAAAACCCTGGTATAATAAAAGATATCGCATAGATTCATAGATTGTAAGGGGCTGGAAGGGACCTCAGAAGATTATTGGGTTCAGCCCCCTGCACGAGGCAGGAAAGACAACTGGGGGTCAGGTGACTCCAGCAAGGTGACTGTCCTGTCTCCTCTTGAAGATTTCCAGGGTAGGCGATTGCACCACCTCTCGAGGGAGCTTATTCCACAGTCTGGACACCCTAGTTGTAAAGTAATTTTTCCTAATGTTGAGCCTGAAATGGTCTCATTTAGTGGTAACCTGCTAGCAAGTCCCCTCTCAGCCTTTTTTTTTTCAGGCTTGCCATGCAAGTCTCTGATCATACAAGTGACCCTTCTCTGGACATCCTCAAGCTTTACCACATCCTTGTTAAAGTGCAGCACCCAGAACTGGATGCAGTACTCCAGCTGCGGTCTCACCAATGCTGAGTAGAGTGGGAGAATCACTTCTTTGATTTTGCTGTAGATGCATCGATTGATGCATGCCCCAGGGTATTGTTGGCCCTACTGGCTACAGTGTCACAGTGCCAGCTCATATTCATACTGTGGTCTATTATTTCACGGGGTCCTTTTCACTTGTGGTACTGGTCAGGTTGGCATTGCCAAGCCTGTAGGTGTGCAGAGGATTGTTCGTCCCCAGGTGGAGCACTTTACATTTCTCAACGTTGAACTTCATCTGGTTCTGGTCTGCACAACTTGCAAGCCTGTGTAGGTCCGCCTGTATCTGCAGCCTATCTTCAAGCATGACCATGCATCCCACAAGACCACATCTACTCAAAGAACCTTGCCTGCCTAATATTTCCAGTTATACCACAAACTCATCACACTGAGCTTGCATCTGGCCCTCCTTGTTGCATTTACTTTCTTAAAGCACAGCCATTGTCACCTCCTGGGAAGAGAAGGGGATCCTTGCCATTGTTACTCTATGCAGGGCAGGATGTAGCCAGGGATGGATCTGGGGGTGCTGTGACTGTACCTATCTTCAACAGAGTAGCTAACCTGTAGCCAGGAGCATTCACTGGGTGCTGGGCTCAGCAGTGGTGCCAGCCAGTCCCTTCTCCCTGTCCCCTTCCCCAGGTTTTGCACTAGCCTGGGGGCTCCAGATGTGGGGAGCAGCTCTGCAGAGTGCCAGGCTGGGTTGGAGATGGGCAGCATTCATGGACAGCCCCCACTTCCAGCCCCTGCTCCCAACTAGTGGAGGACACCTGGAGTCTGCCAGTTGCTATTGCTGTCCGAAGTGGCACCCTATGCAGCTGTTTACCACGGCCCTTGACTGGAGTGGGGCATGACTAGCTCTGGGGCTCTTCCTGCCCCCGGATCAGCTGGGGACAGCGGTGACAGTAGGTGGGTCCACCCCTCGTATGCTTAGAGGCAACCCCTATGGGAGAGCCCTGGACTGGGTGGAGGGCTGGGGAGTCATACCTACTTTGGGACTCAACATAGTTTCTAGTAGCTGCTGACATGGTGCAGTCTACCCACAGGAGGGCACCAGTTGTATCTCCAGGCTCGTCCTGTTTTGAAATCCTAGATCCATTCATAAATGTAGCTGGGTGCAGGGCCATGAGGATAGATTCATGACCTGTGAGCTAAATGATGTGCACCAGAATGATGGTTGTGAAGAATTGGGCTAATGAGTAAGTATAATATACATTATAAAACATGGGACTGACAAAATGTCATGGCAGTCCTGCTTCCCTTTTGACCACTGAGAAAATGCGCTGTTGTCTATTACATAAAGCTTCTGTATTTTCAGTCAGGGCGATAGTAAGGCATATTCCTTAATCCCCAGCTCTTGGCATTCTGTGATTTTTTTTTTTTTGTATCTGATTCTGCCATTCATTAAAGTAAATAAATGTTAGTTTGTAGCCTTTGAGATCATGAAGAAGAATATGAAATTGTGCTCCCCAAGCATAACTCATGCCAAAATGTCTGCCTAAGTCTGCAGACAGTCCAATGAAGCTGTACCTCTGAATGCTCCATGCATAAGCATGGGGCATTGATGCTAAGAGTCTCTTCTCTCAGGGTCCAGCAGAGGACTCCACATGTAGCGGGAAGAGAAGAGCATAGCAGGCACTGTGCACTGACCAAAGCAGATACAACCTGACAATTGGAATAAAATATCAGAGACCGGGGCATTGCTGCCACTTTTGGCGCTAGACAGGGGAACCTTCTTGCTGCTTATAGGGCTACTGCTGCATGTTACATATTACGCAATTAACTGGTTAATCATGCAATAAACTTACACTGGCCACACATGCAAAGTAAGACCAGCCACAAGTGCAAATTATCACACACAATTAACTGGTTAATTGCACAATAAATTTAGACCAGCCACAAGTGCAGGAAAATTATCATAGGATAAAAATGACTGTCAACTATAAAAAGAGCCAACAAGCTGTAAATGCAATGATTGAAAATGTAACAACTCTGTAGCTGGTTTCTGTCCAGCTTTTGCCTGAATGTGTAGCAGGGGTCTAGGATATAGAAACAGGCCTTTTGCCATTCTTACTGTGTGGGAAGGGGATCTTTGCCATCATTACACTCCGTAGGTAGGGGTGCGAATGAGTGCCATGGGGGTGGAACCATGAGCTGTGAGCTACAGAGCATGTGCCAGAAGTATGATGGTGTCTCTAGGGCGCGGGCTTCCTTTAATCCAGCCCTGTTCCCCCTTCCTTCTCTTGGAACTAAAGGAATAGACAGTGTTGTCTTAGAATGAGCCTGTTCCCAGGGAAGCGGCAGCTGGGCTTCTTCCTCAGAACTCACTCCAGTTGCTCATTCCAGTCGACACTCTGTGCGTGTGCACACATCCCTGTCGGCCGTTTCACTTTATATGGAGGATTTTAGGATTTGGTTTATCAGCCATGCCTCAAAGGACTGTTGCAAGGCTGTTTCCTCTGCACTGTGTTGAGTGCTTAGCTGTATAGGTCCCCAAAATGGCCTACTATTCCAACATTATATTTACTAGGATTTTCTAATTCAGTGACATTTTAACTTGGTGTCCTTGTGGTAACTGCAATGAACCCCAGGTTAAAATGTCACTGCATTAGAAAATAATCCTAGTGAACATAATGTTGGAATAGTAGTCCATTTTGGGGACCCATACAGCTGAGCGCTCAACACAGTGCAGAGGAAACAGCCTTGCAGCAGTAAATATATTACAAGTACCACAAGGACTGTACGTTAATATGTGTGTGTGTATATCTATCTATCTATCTATATCATTAGTGCTTAAATATTGTAGATGGCTCGCTAGATAGACAACTACCTAGTGTTTATGATCTTTCTATCCAGCTTACAGTCCGCATTTCTGTACTTCTGTGGAAACCAGTTTGAGTTAAATTTCTAGTAAGATTTTGTAAAATAGTATTTCTCACATTTTACTGAAACCCAAATATACTGGTATTACGTCTGCTGTATTCCTTTTGTTCAGTAATGTGGTGTTTCTGTTTTTAAAAAAGCAATCCAGGTTTGTCTA